CCTCCGTGAAGGCCGAGCTGCTGAGGAGGCACACCTGCACTGACCTAGAAGAACTGCGCCACTACCTTGGCTTGCAGATCTCCAGGGACAAAGCAACGCGCACCATCACTCTCACACAGTCACACTTGGTGCACCAGGTCCTTCAGAGGTTCGGTCTTCAGTTCTCCTCAACATAGCCTACACCTCTGCCAGTAGACCACAGGCTCTCCCCTCCTGTTCCTGAGGAGTCAGTAGAGCCCACTAGTCCTTACGCAGAGTTGGTGGGTTGCCTCATGTACCTGATGACGTGCACTTATCCAGATCTCGCATACCCTCTCAGCATCCTGGCTCGCTTTGTGGCCACAGGGAGACACCGACCACAGCACTAGTCGGCTGCTAAGAAGGTTTTGCGTTATCTAGCAAGTACATCGGGCATGGGGCTAGTACTGGGAGGACGCGGGCCAGTGGTCCTTACTGGGCACACACGCTTCTTGGGCAGACGACGCTGAGACCCTCAGATCCTCTCAAGGCTACTGCTTTAGCCTTGGTGCAGGCACGGTCTTATAGTGGTCCACGTGTTTGTCGTCAGTTGCTCAGTCCAGCACAACACCACTTTACTCTCCTACCCCAATCTATGCCGCTCGTCCCCCCCGTTCCTCCTCATGCATGCGCCTCTTCTCCCTCCCCCCCATACAGGTCATACACCGCCAGCGCCAGATGCTCCACGCAGCGTGGGCGCTTCTGCCACCGCACCCAACTCGACTGATGCGCCCAACACAGACTGGACTATGGACACATCCAGCGGCACCGACGCTCAGCGTGGCGATCACGTAAGGCAGTCCACGCCGTCACGCATTTGCACAGCCCCAAGCCCCCTGTCCCCCGACATCATCCCGCGTGCTGAAACGACAGGTCTCAATCCCGACTGCGCCCCAGACATCGGTAGTCCAGTGGTTGGTGTCTCTTTGCGGTCCCGCCAGCTCAGCTTGGGCACGCGACCTGCGACTGACGGAGGGGAGGGAGGTTCGAGGGGGGGCATAAGGAACCCGGGTGTCGAGGAGTGGGAGAGGGCAGCATGTTCGTCCATCCGCGGCTCAAGGTTCAAAGACACGTTCTCTGGCCGTGACTCGCTTCTGGAGGTGTCGGACCTTATCATGAGCCATTACAACAAGAAGCGAGACGCTCAGTGGCAATAATTCAAGAAACTCACCCGGGAAATGGCTCGTTCTCTTCAGGGTAGGAGAGGACGTAGGAGGCATGGAGGTACGCCGTCATCCTCCTCCTCCTCAGACTCCGTGCCAGTATGCTCCAGCCGCACCGCCGGCCCATGGAGCCACCACCTGTTCTTCTCCTCCTCCTCCCCCAACCGCACTTGCTCGCCAAGCAAGAGCTCAATTTTGTGTAGAGCCACTACCGCGCCGACGGTTTTTGGAATACGGCGGGAGTAGTACTGCATGCGCTCATCCATAATCATCCATTTTGTTTTCGATCTACCGTTTACTTGCTCTACGATCATTCGCTGTCGCGATTGTTGCTTGTTCCAGGTGCTCTCATCATTGGGCAGCGAGACAAGAGGGCAGGCCCGATAAGGAACGTGCATGTACGCTCGCAATCCATAGGCGGCATCACTGACGAGGCAGTAGTTTCCAATGCCGCCCTCTTCAATAAGGCATCTTGCTTCTGATTTTTCTTAAACCCGGTCGTCATTGACGCTTCCGGGCCACCCAACTGTATGTAGTCCCAGATGACGCCATTCAAGTCGCATACTAACTCTAATATAATTGAGTAGAAGCCTTTGCGGTATTTTAAATTGAGCTTGTGTCTACCCATACCGCAGCACCTTATTTAGGGGTCGTCCATGGCGCCCACAACCCCAGGAATCCCACCTTCATGGCGAAACTCCTCCGCCATTTGTTCGAGATCGTCGGGGTGTGGCCACCTCATCCACAGCAGGCGAACTTGATTAAGTGCCGCACGATATGCCACGCGTGGGCGTGAGAGGTCCCAAGCGTCGAACCGAGCCGTCGGTATGTCTCGCCATACCCGAGACGTACGAGCGATATGCCGACACAAGTCTCGACTGGGACATCCCTTCTGGAGTTTCCAAGATGCGACTCGTACGAACGGCAGAGGTAGTTAACGACATCTCTGTCGACGCGTAGAGCATCGCAAAATGCAGGAGGGCGGGAGAGACGGAGCCGCTACTCCCACAATTGCCGCTGGGTTTCACGGTCTTGCTGTGTGAATCGCAAGTATGCTTCGTCGTCGCGCGGCGGACCAGCTCTAGAAGCAAGGCTGCAAGTATCGTGTAAATTGGCCGCACGAAGAGCATGGAGTAGCCATGATAGATCACCGAGAGGAAGAACTCGCGTGTGCGCATTTTCGAGAGTTCTATTCGGAGCTCAATTTCGAAGTGCATGTTTGGCAATACGTATTTCATTTGGGTTGGGCGATGCTCGAGTTGTAGCGAGCAGTGGGAAAGCCGCACGAGGGTTGGCGATGCCTGGATATTGTTGCCACGTTCATGCATGTTCGCAAGAATGTCTTTGACTTTCACATGTTGGAACCTCAGGTGTTTAGGTGAGTGGTTCTCAAGGTGGTGCAGATCATATGCGATTGGTGCAACGATGACTTAGCGCAAAATTTTTGCAGGTGCAATTTATTCCGTATGTGCAAAACCCATGTACGCACCTGGCCAATGAAAACAGTCGCAGCCACCATGTGAAATGTTCGTTACCACCATTAGAACTATGTCTGTTCCACGTCAATGCACTCCTGAGCGGTTGACAACCAGTTGCGAGCGCAATGTGTTACAAACCTAAACAAATCTCACCCTTGCGATCCACCTACTCACGGGCTGACGCGGAAACAGCATGCTAGCCTATCGACACATGCCATTTGCGATGATGAAATTTTGTGGAGTTCCGCCATGTACTCCTCATCGACGTGTGCTGTAGTTTTGAAATGATGGTGGTTTTTATAATTGTTTTACGCTTTTATTTTCTGTTTCCAACTTCATTTAGTTTTGAGTCTGTCTATAGTAGAATCAATTGATGGTTTGGAATCAAATCCTGTTTTGTTCCAGGCCTCTTGCTAACAGGGTAATTACTCTTAATGTCGAAAAATTAAGAGCAACTTTTCAAGTGCGATTTTTTTTCCGAATCCGTCCAACTTACGAAAACAATTTCGCACGATTCCTTAACCTAACGAACCTTTTTTTTTGAATCCGTATGGGCTATACTTGTAGCAGGGCAATCTGTAGGGGGTAGCCCCCCTCCTCCCCCCCCTCCCCCTCCCCCCTCCCAACCCCGCCTTTGATCACTTGCTAGCCGAATTTGTAGCGGCCGATTCCTTTTGGTAACGGCTTTTTTTTTTGGAATTCCGTATGTTAACGGATAATCTTGAGGCGATTCCGTCCCCTTCCGGAATACCCTGGGGCTTAGCGAGAGGCATGTTTTGTTCTAATGGAAACGCATCAATTAGCGTGCGCAACTGAAACCCAGAAAGGACACGCCATGCGAACACCTCGCGACATGCTTGGGCCTTGTCGCAGCTAACGACACCATCCCCGCCCCTGCCAGCTGCGGATACGACAGCGCTCCTACTTTCTTGGGAACGCTACAAGCAAATTTGCCCGGGGCGTACCGCCCTATGCGCTAAGTGCCTCATTCCAACATTCTTGGGCTTTGCATTACGGGAATACGACTTGAACAGCGGGCATACCGTTAGCTCCAAATCCGCGACTCGCAAATATGGAGTACGAACAATAGGGGCGGTACGCAATGTGCAAACTGGATAATAGAGTAGCACTAGAGATTTTAGGTGGGGTGGCGTAGGCCGTTTTAATCGTTCTGTCCACGATGAGTGCCTTGGCGTATTGGCCACTTGGGCTAGGTTACCAGCGATTTTGCCGCGTGCCATGTGAGGGGTCATGTGGCCTCTTAAAAACCGCTCAGTAAATCTGTCGTCTGGTCAGAAACACGTGGACAAAAAAAAGTCACACCTCGTTCTCGACCTTCCCACAAGCAGCGCAGAATCAAAACGCGCAAAACAAATAATAAGGAAAACCCATTTCGTGGTCTCACGAAAAGGGCTAAATGGAACGAAACTTTGACGACTTTATTGAGGGGTTTCGTTAACCAACCACACGTTTTAACGAAAGTGAAAGAGACCTTCAGAAAATCATTTTCGAAACGTGGAGTTGTTCATGGTGATTGAGGGAACAAGGGTCGTGTTTTCGTCTTCGGGACAGTCTTGTTCGTATCGTGCGGGAAGCCTGAATATTTACGTGATTGGTTAAAAAAACTGGGAAAAGCCTCGAATGCTTTTGATACGAGGATTTGAATAGGACCGTAATCGTAAGATAGAATGGATTAAAAATGTTTGCACAGTACACGTGCTTGCGTATAGCTTGCTGGTTGTCCAAATGGCGATATTTTATTGGCCGTTGGGTCGCCATCTGGATTGCGAACACAGTTTTTTTGCATACATGGCGGTATTGGATTTCGCGAAACTAATATGCGACTTTCATCCATCCACTCTCAAATCGCAAGGAACCTCGTCAGAAATTTCATTGGCAGACATGGCATTTTGAGACGTTGAACGTACGCGCTACAGTTGTTGTACGCTGTACGATCGGAGTACAACGTTTTGGATCCTACAGAATTATGGACAATAGGATAGTATCTGGACAAAAATTTCGAGGACTTAATGGCATATCCGCTGTACGGACTTTCGATGGGCGTGGTTCGTGCCGCCAAACTTCGTGATGGGTACGGACTTCTGCCTTTGTTTACCAGTGTCCCACACCCTAAGGGCGTGGAACATACGGTTCCGAACTTCTGATCGTTCGGACAAGTCATAACGGTACAGTAATTTTAGCAACTGTCTTGGCATGCTTCAGTAAGGACATTGCGTGGTATAGTGCGGTTGAATTTCGGACGGAGGCTGTTCGGAACATTTGTCATTTTCACACACGATTGCTCACTTCACTTCCCTCTGCCTGTCTCTTATCTCACTTCGACCTTCCCTTCGCCTCAGCTCGGCTCAGCTTAGCTCAGCTCAAACTCTGCACGGCACGCAACTTGTAGTGGCTAGCGCGGGTCGTTTTTCTCTGGTCGTCACGCCATCCCTGGCTCGGGATGGGTTCGCACGCCTTCTCGCACGCCGCTTCGCTGGTTTCTGGATATCGTTTAAATAGGCTCAAGATGGCTGTTTTCGGCATCCACCAGCGTTGCTCGCTCTTCCAGTCTAACTTCCCAAGCTTCCGTCGCAAGGTTTCAGTCCCACTATACCTCATCGTGACGCACACTACTCCGAGTAGCCTTAAACACTGAGCAAGATTTCTCTGTGCTTCAAGGAGCCCGCGATACTCGTCTACTAATCTATACGAGCCTCGAGCGCTCAGCGCCGTCAAACACTTCTTAGCATCTCGTTCGAACCGTTTGAAGGCGCGCTTCTACAGCTCCATACACTCGGTCACCGAAACAGCCTGTAGCGAGGATTTTTACCTTGGCGACCATGCACGCCGCTTATCCCAGCCATTATCCCGCCGCATCTCAGCCAGGAGCCGGTCCTCACTATCCCGGCCAGCAGCCCGCTCACGGCGCTCACGGCGCTCCTCCTCCCCCGCCTTACGTGGCGCCTCAAGTGCAAGTTCCCACGCAACCCTACGTGGTAGTGGGGCCGCAGTACTGCTTACCGTACGAGACTGTGCTTGTAATGAAGGAGAAGATGTTCTCGATAAGGGATAAGAAGGATGTCCGAGATACAAACGGGAATTTACACTTCAAAGTTGCGGACAGGTGAGATCACGGTCTATTTCAGGCACTTGATCAATGAAATTTGCTGCTTCTGTCGAAGAATAATAGTTCTTGAAAGATTCCCTTTCAGGCACATGTGTTGGACTTACTCTTTCCCCCTTTCCCCCGTTCCTCCTCCGTTACTTTCAGTATTTCAGTGTGTACCCACTTTGTCGTCTGTTTTCCTCTCTCCCCAAATCAGGCTCCTTTCCATTCCTAGGAAGACAACAATTCAGGACGCCAAAGGTGCTCCCGTGTGCACGCTAGCGGGCAAGATGCTAAGTCTGCACAACACCACTTTCCTCTGCCCAGGGGACAGCGGAGCCACGGAGAATCATTTATTCAAAGCCAAGAAATCCATTTTCACCTTTTGCCCCATTCTCAAGGTGAGTTGTCTGTTATCTCCCCGCTCATCACCTTTTTTTGCCTCACACATGGTTTTGTAATCGCCTGCTATGACGTTTGGTTTAACATGAATTTTTTGCTCTCCTGCTCCTTTCCTGTCTTCGCGTGAAGGTGTTTTTACGAGGAAATTATACGAAAAATCCTGACATTATCCTGAGTGGCTCTTTTTTCCAACATGACTTTAGAGTGAGTGTTTCCAACCCTACCCCCCTTCATCTTCACCTTCCCCTTCGCCATCCCCCCCACCCCCCCCCCCCCCTCCCTCCTCTTTCTCGTTTTCCCTCTCTCTCTTCCTCTTATTCATTCCTTATAGAAAACAGCTGTATGCTTTTGTCAGAACCCGCTTAATTGCTTTCCACCTTCACACTCCCCCTTCCTATCTGATTCCAGATCACCACCACCACCGGCATGCTTTTGGCCGAAGTGAAGCGAGATTTGTTCACAGCGCGCGACCTTGTTTTCGACACCCAGACTTACTTCGTGCGGGTCATGCCAAACGTGGACATGGCGTTGGTTCTGGCTCTAGTTGCTCTGGCAGACACCATTTTTGTTGACAACGAAGGTTCCGCTGTTGTTGATATTGCTGAAATTGGTTGTGGTGTTGCTCAAGTTGGTTTGGCTATAGCTGAACTAGCTGCTGCGGTTCCTGATAGCTAGATCTGTTGAGGTCACGGTTATGCTTTAAGAGAATTAGGGATGGTTACGGTTGCCATCCAATCCCGTAGGTTGGTGGGTGGGTATCTGAGTAGGGACAGAATTGAGGGGTAAAATGCCCTGATTACCCTCTTGCCAATGGCCACTTTTTGGAGTATACCCTGATTTTGGAAGGGTTAAAAGGTGATTTCAGGCCAAATTTGCCACTAGCACCCTTACAAATCACGGTGAAATCATAAGAATGCCCTAATTTCTAAGGGTGCCCCGAAACCAATTCGGATGGCCGACTAGAATTGCTGTTGTGAATTTTGGATGTGTTGGAAATACCTTGAAGACTTGAGCGTTTCTGAAGTGTAACACTACACTCGAGAAAATTCGTATCGGGTACGCACAAGGAGGTTGAACGAAAGAACACGAAAGGACGAAGGGACTCGAAGGATCGCAACCGGAGGTTGCGATTGACGGTTGCGACTGCAAGGATGGTATGGTAACTGAAGAGACTCGATAACTGTTTCTTCAACTGCACTTTACAACTGCTTCATTTCTTGTTTTCTATATATTGCTGTATGCTTGTTCCTTCTAATCAATCACTTGCTCTCACATACTAGTGCAAGGGTTCAACCACTCAACACTTCCGCTGCACTACTCAAGCACTTCATACAAGTGGGACTTTGTCTCTGAAAAGATCCTAGGGCTTTTCTCAGCCCAACATGGTATGAGAGCTGGTCAGAGACAAAACTCCCATCAACGACATCCTATCTACAGTCAGCACATCAAAACTTCATCGATTATAAGTCATGGACAACAAGGTCAAGAATTCTTCTACCGGCTCACCCAGCGCCCAAGACACTCAACCCGGCACCTCTGGACTAGACACTTCAGGACTACAAACTGAGACCGGCGCTGCTCAAGAAACAACAGGAAGGGTACCAGAAATGGTGACCCCTTCACCCTCTTCAGCCGTGGACCCAAACCTTATGGAAAGGTTCTTCAGCTTCATGTCGCATTTTGACCAACAGCAGCAGACAAGGACGCCTGCGCATTCAACACAAAGCAACGGGGGAAATAAGGGATTAGCACCAATGAGCCTCGACAACTCATCATTCGGGCGGCACAATCAGGCTCCTACCTTTGTGCCTTATCACTCTTCACCAGGGACGTTCGAGTTCATGCCGCCCCGTGCTCAACCGACAGCAGCTGCATCACAACAGACACCAAACGAGATATTGAGTCTCCAGGCGCAGTTTTCACATGTGATCAAACTGCAGACATCTTCACCGTTCAACGGGCACGACTTCTTTACCTGGAGTTTTGAGTTCGAGCTGCTGATGGAGGCCGCACACCTCTTGGGATACTTCAACGGGGCCCTGCCATTTTCAAGCAATGGCATTGTAAAGGAGCAGGAAATCTTCACTTATGAGTCGCTGCTGGCGTACATAGTTCTTCTGCGAAATATGTCATCACAAGAGCAACAGAGCATCAGAACGTATCGGAGCTACGGAAACTCCGCGGAGCTCGCCTGGCATCGTCTGAAGTGTCTCTATCAAGCAAACGACAGCGTGACACAAAGCAGACTCATGCAGCAGTTGACAACAATACAAATGAAGACCGCAGAAAAGGCGATGCAGTATATGAGTCTCTGCCAGACACTCCGCGACCGCCTGCTTCGGTGCGGAGGTACAATCACTGAGGAAAGCTTCGTGACACTTGTTCTCACCGGGCTCGGACCAGAATGGAGAACCACCCGCTCGTTCCTTCGCGCCCACGGACGAATTTCCGAGATGCACCTCTGTGCCGAGCTTCAAGCCGAACAACAGGAGATGGACCTGTTTGAAGAAAGACAACCAAGAAACAAGCAGCAACCGTTAGTCTTCTATACTCAACGAAGAAACGACAACAACTACAACCGACGTGATAAGCAGAACCGACACGACACCAGAGGACTCACCATCGTGCCGCCGTTCTGCCACAACTGTCAGTCATCCGGGCACTCCAAAGTCAACTGCACACGCCCTCGAGTTTATCGTCCAGCAGACCCGCAAGTCGCCTCCACTCAAGAGAATCCGCCAAGCCCCTCCTCTACACCTGCACAAGGCGCACCGAACATTATTAACTGCATGGTGCACATCGACAACTGCACACTCGGATCACCACCCACTTACGCTCCAGACGAAGAAGAACTGTCGCCGCCGCGCTCACAAGGTCTTCAAGTCAACCCCACGTATGCTGCAGTCGCCAACGCCGAACCCACCGGGCGAAACACCTGGTTCTTGGACAGCTGCTGCGGCCAACACATGTGCTCCTCGGGGCGCTTCGTGCAACAAGAGCGACGTCTCAACCGCGATGTCATCATCACCGTCGCCAACAACGAAAACCTGAAGACAAACAGACAAGGAGTTGTTTAACTTCAGTCAATGGAAACAAACGTCCTACTGCAACTCAACAAAGTTCTCATCGTTGACAATTTGGGATACAATCTACTAAGCGTCAGCCAGTTAATGGCGAAGGGAATTCACCTGGAATACGACTCAGACGCCAACGAGTTTCGACTTTACCACGGGAAGGGCGGCCTCTCCATTGGTCGCGCTCTTCTGAAGTCGGGTGTCTTCGTGCTGGACTTCGTCCCCGACCGCGGAACTACCGACAGCGATGGCATCGTGTCGTTCCCTGCCTGGACGCACCCACCGGATCTTGACCCCGACTTCACTCCCGACGGATTCTGGTACTCCTGTTGGTGCAACCCTATGGCTTGCACTCGGCTTGTCGTCCTTGTTTGTGTGTGTGCATGCATGGCATGGAAAGAATTCTGAGTCTATGTCATTGCTATCCAATGCTTGTGTGTGTGTTTGAATGGTGTATCACAATGTGGTTTGTGTTGGTCAAGACATTAGCGAGTTTTTACAACTCGCATTTCAAGTCGTCGTTTGCGTGTCGCATGTGTTTTTTCTATTTTGTCGAGTGTGAAGTGTCCATCGCATCGCAAGTGTGTGCAGCAAGCCCCCATCCTCTCAAGAAGAATTTATCTTGCAGAACCAAGACCAAGAGCTCAAGATTTCAAGCCCAAGGGACACGGATAAATATTAAATAGTGAAAATAGTAACGCTACTTCGTGTAGTGTTACATTTCACTTGGTGTAGCCCCTTGGAGGGTTTGTTTCGAGACTCTTCATGGTTGGGGACTCTGTGGTGGTGTACCACCAACCTGGACCTCGGCTCTTGGGGTATGTAGAGGCTGGGAACCATCTCCATCTCGAATTCTTCTTCCTAAGTTTTTGTACTCCTAAGACTATAGTGGCTGCTGTACCTCCTGCCAGTCAAACCGCCATAGCGTCGTCAAATCTTCATGGAATTTCATGATTCAACTTGCTGCTGATAGACGACAGCAAGACGCTCCAGATCCAACATACAGATTACCGTTTGAGGCAGCGAGCAGATCGTTATCAATATTTGAAGCCGTCTGACGGAAATCCGACTGTGCTCTCTATCTCTCATTATAGGCACATCTAAGCCTATTGTGATTATAACAAGGGGTATCAGATCCCCTTGGAGCCGTCTCGACCATGCCTAGACCTGAGGAAGGGGGTGGCAGAGGTGCTGGAGGCAGAGAAGACGCCCAAGCACAAGGTCAACACCAAGATCCACCCGTTGCTCCGGTGCAACCTAGCCTTGGACCCTCTAGGGATGAGCCTAGAGTGTTTGGCCTTGACAAGTTCAACGGTGACAACTTTGCTGAGTGGTCCTTCAAGATGGAGAACATCTTTGACCACTATGATCTGTTGGAGGTGATGGAAGGAACGGAGAAGCGCCCCGAGAACGACCCGGAGAAGAGCCCGTGGGTGCGGAAGAGCGCACAAGGCTACCTTCTACTTGGGCAAGCGTTGGGGAGCAGCCAAATCCGTCACACCAAGCCTTTGCAGCGTGAACCAGCAAAGAGACCAAAGGCATGGGCTGCTCTCAAGGGTGTACACGCTCCTGCAACAGCGGCGGTGGCTGTGGTTTTGGAGCGGCAAATGGCGGCAGTTCGAATTGACGAAGGCGAACCGGTGGAGGAAGGAGTGCAGAAATTCTTCGACTTGTTGACACGGCTCGAAGGAGCTGACCTGAACTACAGTGACCTTCAAAAGAAGACCAAGCTGCTGGCCTTACTTTCGGACTCATGGTCCTCGCTCATCATCAACCTTAATCGAGATCTGCCCCGTCTCTCACTCGAAGATGTGAAGCGGGAAATCTTACAATAAGATTTCTGCCGTCGCGAATTGGCGGGTCCCGATGGTGCCGGAGTTGCAAGCATGGGCCGTGGGCATGGCCGTGGAAGAGGCAGAGGGCGAGGAGGAAGATTTGGTAGCAGTAACTTCAATGGAGGCCGTGGTAATGGAGGATATGGCAACAACAACAACAACAATGGCTACGGGCATGGGCGCGGTCGATTTGATGGCAAATGCCACTTTTGTCACAAGACCGGCCACATGTGGAGAGATTGCTTCAGATTGCCTGATAGATGGACCCCTTCTCAAGGCCAAGAGGGCAGAGGAGCAAGGGGAGGAAAAGGCAGAGGCCGTGGAGGCCGTGGTGGCCGTGGAGGCGAAGCGGCAAGCATGAAAGGTGGAGACTACGACAAGGACTCGAGTGAAGATCGATACCCGGGCCAATTCTTCTTTGTCTCCACGCAAGCGGCAGCTGCAGCAGGAGGCGTGGAAGGCTTTGAGGAGCCAGCTACTGTGGGAAAGGTCACCCTTCACTCTCTGGACTTTTGAGTGATCGATAGCGGCGCCACCTACAGCATGACACCTCGTGCGGACTTGCTCACCGAACTCGAACCGTCGCCGGTCAAGCATGTTACATCGGCTTTGGGGCAGCGAGCAGAGGTGAAAAGCATGGGCAAGGCCATGTTCAAGGGTGCTGATGGGAAGATGGTGGGCCTCAAGAACGTGCTTTTGGTGCCCAACCTAGCAGCCAACCTGATTTCCGTTCGGCGTTTGTAAAAGGCCGGCATGGACACATCTTCCAAGGGATCCAAAACCTATACCGCGAGGCTTGGTGAGCGGAAGCTTTGGGACCTTCATGAGGACAGGGACATCTACAATGAGATGTGGCAAATCCCAGTGGTCCCCATGCCTATGGGGAGGCAAGTGGCAGCAAGCGTCAGTACCAAGAGTGAAGCAGTTGGTGGCGGTGATCACGGAAAGCAAAGTGACACCAAGAGTGACTCGAAGGAGTGCAACCTTGGAGAGACCAGCAAGGCGTGTGAACCCAAGGAGAATGGTGCAGCAGCCAAAGGTGGTGGAAATGAGGAGGAGAAGGCTAAGATCAACAAAGCAGCAGCGGCGAAGGAGAAAGGAGAGAGCTTGTGGGGCACAATTGCGAGTGCCGCTTTCTCCAACCCGACTTCCGCTACAGGAGAGTGTGATTGGCTGACCTTGCATCGGCGAATGGGGCATGTGGCATTGCCCATTTTGCAGCAGATTGTTAATCAAGAGATGGTCAGTGGGATACGTGTTAAGGGGGAGCCCAATGAGGTGCTTGGCTGTCCAACATGCATGCAAGCCAAGTTCACCCGCTACCCGTTCCATAGCTCGGAGACAACGGCGAAGGCACCACTTGATGAGGTGGTGATGGATGTGGTGGGCCCCTTGAAGCGTGGAGCTGCTGGAGCAGAGTACTTCCTCACCATTGTGGACGTCTACACTCACATGACCTGGGTGTATGTGCTGCACAAGAAGAGTGACGTAGCTGAAACGGTGAAGACCGATTGGTTGCCGATGGTGGAGCGGCAACAAGACCGACTTGTGAAGGCGATTCGCACTGACCGTGGGGGAGAGTTCCTGAGCAAGGATTTCTCAACTTGGCTGAAAAAGCAGGGCATAAGGCACTCTCTTACCATGCCCTACTCTCTTGCAATGAACGGCATCGCCGAGCGTGCGAATCGGACACTCACGGAGACGGCTCGGGGACTTCTCATTGAAGCCGGTCTTCCCAATTACTTTTGGCCGGATGCGGTGCGACATGCTTGTGTGGCCAAGAACAGAGCCTTGACTCATGTGGGAGAAGACAAATGGGTGCCCTATGTGGAGTGGATTGGAAGGAAGCCGAAGGTGGATATGCTTCGGGTGTTCGGGTGCATGTGCATGGCACTTGTGCCTAAGAAACTTCGGCACAACAAGCTTGATGCCAAGGCAACATGGGCCGTGCACCTGGGCATGGTCCAAAACAGCAAGGGATGGCTTCTTTGGGACCCATTTACCAAGAAGTTCCTGGTGAGCAGAGATTGCAAGTTCATGGAGAACTTACCGTACAAGGAGTGGAAGGCGGAGAACCAAGCGAAGATTGGTGTGCGGCTTGGAGAGGTGAAGAGTACCGGCTTGGAGCATGTGGAGCTGCCCTTGGAGCTGAGTAGCAGCAGCACAATCACAAGGCAATCTCCTCAAATGAATGGGGGAGAAGAGGAGGAGGAGGTGCAACAAGGTGATGAGCGTGCACCGTCACTTCCGCCTCGTGCTACAAGTGCTCGCGGGAACCGACCAGATTTGCAGCAACGCGACAAGAGCATCCAAGTCCCTGCAGCAGAGGAGGAAGGAAGGGGGAGAAGGAAGACTCAGCCCCCCAATAGGTTGAGCTATGAACGGCTTGGAGGACCAGCCAACTCAACCTTGACCGGTTCAGCTCTCATGCTGGCGATGATGCGGAAGATGAAAGCGAGGAGTGCGCTTTTGCCTTCTTCTCTCCGGTGGAGATACCGGGGGAGCCTACAAATCCCAAGGAGGCTTGGGAGGGCCCCAATGGGAAGGAGTGGAAGAAGGCCTCAGATGAAGAAATGGGGAGCATCATCGAGAACGACACGTTTGACTTGGTGAACCTACTCAGGGGCGTAAGGCGATTTCTTCCAAGTGGCTCTTCAAGCGCAAGACCGACGCCGACGGCAACATTGAGCGCTACAAGAGCAGAATTGTAGCCAAGGGGTACCAGCAGCAGGAGAAGAAGGACTACAACGAAGTATATGCTCCTGTGGTGAAGGGTACAACCCTTCGAAGTCTCTTCGCCGCGGCGGCCATCAAAGGATGGGTGGTGAAGCAAATGGACATAGTAACGGCCTTCCTCAATGGCGTTTTGGAGGAAGAGACCTACATGGAGCAGTAAGAGGGGTACAATGATGGGAGTGGCAGAGTGTGGAAGCTGAAGAAAGCACTCTATGGCCTCAAGCAAGCCCCTAGGCAATGGTACATCAAACTGCGGGAAGTCTTGGAGGCGATCGGCTTCACTCCCTCAACGGCCGATCAATCCTTGTTCATGCTTGGCGAGGGGGAGCAGAGGAGCTTCATGGTGGTTTATGTGGATGACATCCTCATATTCTCACCCTCCTCTGACCTTGTGAAGGAGGTGATGCTGAAGCTTCAAGACAAGTTCAAGTGCAAGACCCTTGGTGACGTCAACTACTACCTTGGGCTTCACATTGAGCGAGATGTGGAGAAGCGGTGGATGCGAGTGCATCAAAAGAAGTACTTGGAGGCCTTGGCTGCAAACTTTGGGAAAACTGAAGGTCATGTGGCTACTCCTCTTCCCTCAGGGTTCAAGTGTGTGAAAGGACCAGTGGAGGAAAGTGTTGGTGAAGAGGAGAGGCGCCGTTTTCACTCCTTGGTGGGCAGCCTCATGTATGCGGCCGTTCACACAAGGCCGGATGCAGCCTTTGCTACCGGGCAGCTGGCTAGGGTTGTCCAATGCCCTAATGAAGAACAGGTGGCAGCTGGAGAGAGAGTGGCTAAGTATCTTGGCCAAACAGCAACTGTTGGACTGCAATACTCCGCGGCGGCACAAAGGCGTCAAAAGGGTGCGGATGGAGTCGATCCCGGGAGGCTCTTTCTCACCGCCTTCTCTGATGCATCTTGGGCATCGGAACCAGAGGATATAAAAATTGTGGGAGGCTTCATCTGCTATATTGGTGGAGGCTCAATAGCTTGGGAGAGCAAGAAACAAGTGAACCAAGCATTGAGCTCGGTGGAGTCCGAGTACATGGCACTCTTCCGTGCCATTAGGGAGGTTGTGTGGCAGCGGCGTTTGCTAGCTGAATTGGGGGAGGAGCAGCAAGGACCTACCCCACTCTATTGTGATAGCCACGGTGCTATTGCATTGGCTAAGAACCCGGTTCTTCATGGCCTTACCAAGCACATGAAGGTGAAGTGGCATTGGGTGAGGAGCATGGTAACCTCGGGTGAAGTGGAGTTGCACTACGTGAAGACGACGGCACAGCCTGCTGATATGATGACCAAGAGGCTGGTTGAGCAGTAGCATTGGAAGTGTTGCAAGCTTGCTGGGATGGCTCTGAACTAAGGGGAGCAGATTCTAAGGCCAACAATCCGAGGGGGAGTTTGTTGGTGCAACCCTATGGCTTGCACTCGGCTTATCGTCCTTGTTTGTGTGTGTGCATGCATGGCATGGAATGAATTGTGAGTCTATGTCATTGCTATCCAGTGCTTGTGTGTGTGTTTGAATGGTGTATCACAATGTGGTTTGTGTCGGTCAAGACATTAGCGAGTTTTTACAATTCGCATGTCAAGTCGTCGTTTGCGTGTCGCATGTGTTTTTTCTATTTTGTCGAGTGTGAAGTGTCCATCGCATCGCAATTGTGTGCAGCAAGCCCCCATCCACTCAAGAAGAATTTATCTTGCAGAACCAAGACCAAGAGCTCAAGATTTCAAGCCCAAGGGACACGGATAAATATTAAATAGTGAAAATAGTAACGCTACTTCGTGTAGTGTTACATTGCACTTGGTGTTGCCCCTTGGAGGGTTTGTTTCGAGACTCTTTATGGTTGGGGACTCTGTGGTGGTGTACCACCCTGGACCTCAGCTCTTGGGGTATGTAGAGGCTGGGAACCATCTCCATCTCGAATTCTTCTTCCTAAGTTTTTGTACTCCTAAGACTCTAGTGGCTGCTGTACCTCCTGCCAGTCAAACCGCCATAGCGTCGTCAAATCTTCATGGAATTTCATGATTCAACTTGCTGCTGATAGACGACAGCAAGACGCTCTAGATCCAACATACAGATTACCGTTTGAGGCAGCGAGCAGATCGTTATCCGAAGACCGCTATCCGAAGCGGATCAACTCATGCCCATCACCTGAGGAGTCTGCCGCAGTCCAACCACGGTCGTCGCACTCTTCTCCAACGCCGACGTATACCAGCGCTCACCCGGCCATCGTGCTCCCGACGACATCTGGCATCAACGACTCAGACACCCTGCAAACAGCACAGTACTACAAACCATACAAGCCGGAGTATTTGAAAAGGACGCTCTTCTCACAACGAGCGGCCAGGAGCTTCGACGACCCCGCGCACGATGCTTCACGTGTCCTGAAGCTGATCTTTCCCACCAACCTTTCCCGTCGCACCACAATCCAAGCGCACCTGCATACGCACCGATGGAAAATGTTTACAGCGACATTTTAAATATGCCTCGAGACGACAGTGAAGCAAAGTTCAACTATGTCATCACGTTCATCGACGCAGCAACACGATACGTCTGGCACTACAACCTCAAGACACGTCATCAAGCGTTCGAAGCCTTCACGACATGGCTCCCCATCGCTGAACGAGAATCGGGCTCCCAACTCAAGAACTTCCAGTCACAAAGATTCAAGAGCTATCTGGCAAAAAGAGGCATCAGACGCCTGGTGTCTCTGCCCTACGCTCACCAGCAGCAGGGGGTCACAGAGAGGATGAACCGGACCCTGCAGACTACGATGCGAAAGCTGCTCCTGGGGATGAGACTGCCCAACACACTGTGGCCTAACGCGATGACGCATGCAGTCCACCTCCACAACTTGCTGTCCTCGTCATCACTTCCCAACAGCGCATCACCGCACCTGCTGTGGAAAGGAAAACAGTGCAGCACAAAATTACTTCGAGTCTTTGGCTGCATGGTATAGTACAGACCCCACACAGCCCGAGCAGGACGATTCTCTCAACGAGCACGGTGGGGACTACACCTCGGCATCGCAAAACATTTCCAAGCATGGAAACTTCTCGACATTCAAGACAAAACCACCGTGGCCTCACGTGATGTGATTTTCTATGAGAGACTGACGCTGCAGCATTACCTGGACAACATCGCCAATACAAACGACCCCACCGACGGCTTCGAGGGCCATCGGTCCTTCGCCGACCGTGCTGCCGAAGGTGATGCAGCAGAAGAAGACGTACCTGAAGCCTCGGAAGCTGCCGGACCACTCCCTTACTGCTCGGTACCCGTTCCACTCGACGACGACAATCCTCTCGATAATAACAACCTCGACATCTATTACCACTTTGCTGACCAGGGTTACACTACACCTCAACCGGTCCACACAAATGTCTCTGAACGCATCAGACCCAATTTCTTACCTGACCCCGAAGATGGTGATGAAGCAGCTTATCCCGAGAATGAAAATTCCCCTCGACACACACCCACGGGCCTGCAGATACTTGGACTATGGGTCGCCGTCCAGAGCCCGCCGCCGCCGTCGTCGCGAGAGCCCACGACTTTCTCGCAGGCCCTGGGGGGGGAACACAAGGCGAAATGGAAGGAAGCAATGGAAAGAGAACTGAAGACCCTGCAAGACCAAAATACGTGGAAGCTGGTACCTGCAACAAAAACCAACGGGAAGAATGTGCTCTCGGGGAAATGGGTGTACCGCATCAAGACTAATGCAGATGGCTCCATGGACCGCTTCAAGGCTCGCTGGGTCGTACGAGGATTCGACCAGCGACACGGAACCGACTACACGGAGACATTCGCCCCAGTCTCCCGACATACCTCCCTGCGCATTCTGCTTGCCGTCGCGGCCACGAAAAAGCTACCACTGCGCCAGATCGATGTCGCCAACGCCTTCCTGTACACACCTGTGGACGCCGAAATCTTCGTCGAGCAGCCCCACGGATTCATCGACGATCCCACAAAAGTGTGCCAGCTGGTAAAATCCCTCTACGGAATCAAACAAGCCCCGCGGCTTTGGCAGCAGCACCTTCACGGCCGCCTCGTTAGGATCGGCTTCCTGCAGCTGCCGCACGATCAAGGGATGTACCGACTACAGAAGGTGGGGGATTTCGTCCTACTCATCGTCTACATCGATGACCTACTCTACGTCTGCTCCACTACCGACGCCATCACCTGGTTTGAAGGGGAGCTGAGGAGTGACTTAACACTCATGATGTCAGACACCGTGAGCCAGTACCTAGGTCTGAACGTCGTCGAAGACGACTCGGCGTTCTACCTACACGCCGGAAAGTACGCAGGCGTTGTCGCGAAGAAATTCGGACTAACGCCGGCCGCAGTCGCGACTCCCTATCATTACAGGAACAGCAGCGACACCTCCGCAAAGCTCCCCGCGAAGCAAATCCAGGAATATCAACAGAAGCTCGGCTCTCTACTGTTCGCAGCAGTAACCTGCTGATCGGATCTGTCCTACAGCGCTAGCCAAGTGGCGACACACCTGAAGCAGCCGGAGCAAGAGCATCTTGAGGAGCTAAATCGGGCACTGCTCTACTTCATCTCTACGCCGAAGACTGGACTTACCTACAGCAAAGTAACGCCATCGTTTGTACAACTACTCGGCTATGTCGACGCCGACCACGCGGGAGATAGGGAGAATTGTCGCTCCAGAACGGGCTACATCTACCGACTAGAGCCTATGGGGACTATCTCCTGGCAATCGAGCAAGCATGAACTAATTGCGCTATCCTCGGCTGAAGCGGAATACATCGCTCTCTGCTCTGCGACCAAAGGACTTTACGTGCAGGAGCTGCTCGAGGAAGCGAAAATTGCGACCATGCCCGCCTTCTCGTTACTTTGCGACAACCAATTCGCGATCAAAATCGCGAACAACAACGAGTTTGCCAATCGAACCAAGCACATCACTCTGTGGTATTTCTTCGTCAAGGATGAGATCGCGAAGGGGAGACTTCAACTCAGTTCCTGCCCCACGACAGAAATGGCTGCAGATTACTTGACGAAAAAACTGGCAAAGGCAAAGTTCGATTACTGCATGCTGCTGATCGGGCAGATAAACGTCACCGAATCCGGACACGTCAGCACTCCAAAAACGAAGGGGAGTGTTGGAAATCCCTCGAAGACTTAAGCGTTTGTGAAGTGTAACACTACTCTCGAGAAAAATCGTATCGGGTACGCGAGTCAACGGAGGATACACGAGGAGGTTGAACGAAAGAACACGAAAGGACGAAGGGACTCGAAGGATCGCAACCGGAGGTTGCGATTGACCGTTGAGACTGCAAGGATGGTAACCGAACAGACAATCTAGTCGCTGTGTGACTCGATAACTGTTTCTTCAACTGTACTTTACAACTGTTTCATTTCTTATTTTAAATATATTGATGTATGCTTGTTCCTTCTAATCAATCACTTGCTCTCACATACTAGTGCAAGGGTTCGACTACTCAACACTTCCGCTGCACTACTCAAGCACTTCATACAAGTGGGACTTTGTCTCTGAAAAGATCCTAGGGCTTTTCTCAGACCAACAGGATGGAAAGGAGTGTCTCGCGAAACCTTCCGATCCTCTTGTTTCTGGGTCCATCTGTCTCGTGCCTTCTGCCTTTCTGGAACCCACACAGCCATCAGAGGAGCATCTCCTCTCCATCTCCTCGCACCGTTCCTCCCCATCCATTCTCCATTACCTATCTCTTCCCATCTCTTGCTTCTCTCCCCCCTCATCTCTCCCCCCCTCCACCCGCCAGTCATCAGAGGAGCGTCTCCTCGTCATCTCCTCGCCCCCGTCCTCCTCACCCCTGCCCTTCCACTCCTCTCGTTCTTGTTGCCCTGCGCTCTCTTTTCTGGTTCTGAAACCCTAACAGCCATCGGGGGAGCGTCTCCTTGTAGTCTCCTCCCCCCCTTCCTCCTCATCCCTGCCCCTCTCATCCTCTTGTTTCTTGCCCCTCTCCCTCTTTCCTTCTCTCCTCTGCTGAAACCCCACCAGCCCTCAGAGGAGCGTCTCCTTGTCATCTCCTCGCCCCCATCCTCCTCGTCTGAGCCGTCACCAGCAGAGGCAGCTCTCTTCGCGATGTTCCCTGCTGCGCTGCTGCCGCAGGTAGGGTTGCTCTTGATTCGACCTAGAGAAAGGCTTTGGTAACTTGTGAGCTGACCCATCAAGAGTCACCCTGTCACCAGCCGAGGCAGCTCTCTTTGCCATGTTCCCTGCTGCGCTGCTGCCACAGGTATGTGCTTTTGAGAGAGAAAAAGAACAACGAACAGACAGGCGGTGGCGAATTTTTCCTCCTCACCTGACCCCTCACCAGCTGAGGCAGCTTTCTTCGCCCTCCTTCTGCCCGCCTTCCCCATCCCTCTCCCGCCAAGCAGGACAACAACCAGCACTAGCAGAGTCGCCAGCAGAATCGCCAACAGAATCGCCAACACCAGCAGCAGCAGCCAGACGAGGCAAGCTGGTCAATCCTGAACCTGCTGCTGGTGCCTCTCTAACTTCCCTTCACGCCACCCTCCCTCTTCCCCCAAGCAGGACAACAACCAGCACCAGCAGCAGCAGCAGAACCGCAAGCAGCATTGCCAGCAGCAGCAGCCAGACGCGACAAGCCGGTCCATTCTGAACCTACTGGTGCCCGCGTCGCAGTCAGGCGCTATGATTGGCCGAGGCGGCAAGGTTATTAAGGACATCCGGGAAAGCAGTGGAGCATTTGTTCGCATCGCAGAAGGGCCCACCTCGCCCTTCGTACTGCCTGCAGATAGGCTCGTGCAGGTGAGAATGGCAGAGGGGGGTAGGTACTGATGAGGGTGTGGTCGGGAGCAGGGGTGGGAGGCAAGATGGTTGACATGGGGTGGTAAAGTAGAGGGGCCCACCTCACCCTTCGCCCTGCCAGCGGACAGGCTTGTGCAGGTGAGAATGGCAGCTGACAGGCTTGTGCAGGTGAGAATGGCAGCTGACAGGCTTGTGCAGACAGGTGAGAATGGCAGCTGACAGGCTTTTGCAGGTGAGAATGGCAGCTGACAGGCTCGTGTAGGTGAGAATGGCAAAGGGGGGTAGGTTGGTTCTGATGAGGATGCGGTCGTGAGCAAGGGATAAAGGCAGGATGGTTGACATCGGGGGGTCAAGGAGAGGGGCCCACGTCGTCCTTTGCTTCGCTCTGCCGGCAAACAGGCTTGTGCAGGTGAGAAGGGATCCGAGGATGGATGAAGTGCGGGTGGGGGTGTGATTGAGTACAAGGGAGGGCGGCAATGTGATCCGGGACATTTGGGAGACAAGTGGGGCGTTTGCCCGCATCGCAGAGGGGCCCACGCCGCCCTTTGCCCGGCCAGCAGGCAGGCTCGTGCAGGTGAGAATGAGACATGCAAAAAAAAACAGATTGACGTTGGGTAGGTTGGGTTTGAGGCGCCTCAAAACTGGCCAGCAGGTAGACTCATGTAGGTGAGAATGAGATGTGCATGACGCTGGGTAGGTTGGGTTTGAGGCGCCTCAAAGTTCACCAGCAGGCAGGCTCGTGCAGGTGAGAATGAGATGTGCGTGACGTTGGGTAGGTTGGATTTGAGGCGCCTCAAAGCCGGCCAGCAGGCAGGCTCGTGCAGGTGAGAATGTGACGTGCGTGGCGTTGGGTAGGTTGGGTTTGAGGCGCCTCAAAACCAGCCAGCAGGCAGGCTGGTGCGGGTGAAAATGAGACGTGTGGTAGGATGGGTAGGTTGGTTGTAGGTAGGAACTGATGGGTATGTGGTAGGGAGCAAGCAAGGGAGGGAGGCAAGGTGGTAAGAGGCGTTCGGGAGTCGAGCAGTGGTGCGTGTGCTTGAATAACAGAGGGGCCCACCTTCTCCAAGAGGTGGCCTCGCCGCGGTGTTTTTGAGAAGTCTCAGGAACACCCTTTCCCAAAATGTGACCTCGCCTGTCACTGCCTGATGACAGGCTTGCGCAGGTGAGTGATGATGCATCTTCATCCTTCCCGTCCCTTCCCATTCCGTCCCATCCCATCCCATCCCATCCCACCCCTTACAGATCACTGGCTCTCTTCCAAAGCTGGAGGCGGCACTCAAGGCGATTGCAGACGTTCTCGAGTGAGTGCTGCTCTAGCTCTTGCAGCGTGCTGCATGCCATTGCATGAGCAAGGGTGCTATTTTCAGGTGCTGCTGGTGCATGTCTGCCTGCCTGTTCATGTATGTGTGTCTGCCAACGCTGCAGCCTGCACTGTAGTGCTTGCCTCAAATTCCATGTGTGTGTTTGTTCTTATGTCTATCTGTCTGCCTGTCCATCTGTCCCTATCTGTCTCTGCATCCACAGGTCCAATTCGGCCCAGGAGCCCCTAGAGGAGATGGAGACGGCCAGCAGGGTGGCAGCAGCAAAGGCCACCCTCAACCCCTACGCTGCTGTCGCACTCCATTTGTGCTTGTGTTCCCTTTTCTGTCTGTCTTGGTCTGTCCGTGTATTCACAGGTCCAACCCGCCCCAGGAGCCCCTAGAGGAGATGGAGACAGCCGGCTCAGTGGCAGTGGCGAGAGCCACCCTCAACCCCTATGCTGCTGCCGCTGCAGCAGCAGCAGCGCAGCAGGCAGCAGCAGTGGCAGCAGGAGTGGGATTCAGGGGTAGAGACAGTGGGGGAGGTCGAGGGGGCGGAAGAGGGGGAGGAAGAGGAGGGGGAGGTGGGGGGGATGGGGGGTACCCAGGTCCTGGGATTGTAGGTCTGGGGATGCCTCCTACTTATGCTTTGACACCAGGCGCAGGGGTGTACGATGCTGGACTGGGGATGGGAGGGGGCGGGCTAGGCTCGGGAGCTTCAGGTTCGGGATTCATGGGTGCAGGCTTGGGAGGAGGTCTGGGGATGGATTTGGGCAGTAGCTATGGTGGGGGAGGCTTGGGAGGAGGCTTGGGAGGAAGCTTGGGAGGAGGCTTGGGGGGTGCGGTGGGCGGAGGGGGAGCTGCAGCAGCAGCAGGAGATTTGAGCTGGGGGCTAGGAATGGGATTCCGGGATAGTCTAGGGGGAGTAGGGGGGATTGGGCGGATGGGGGGAGGATTGGGAGGGGTGTTGGGGGTAGTGAGCAGCTATCAAGCAGCAGCAGGGGGGGCAGCAGGGGGGGCAGCAGAGGGGGCAGCAGGGGGAACACCAGGGGGAGGTGTTGGAATGCCTCCAAGTGGCTTCTCTTCTTCTCCCATGGGCTATACTGCTGGCTCTAATGCATCGGGTTACATCCCTGCATCTGGTTACCAGCCCCCTGCTGGTTACCAGGCTGCCTCGGGTTACCAGTCTCCCCCTCCTTCGTTTGACGACCCTTCCAGTTAAGTCGAATCCTTCTGGCGGTTACCACCCTCCCTGCAAGTACCAACCCCTCCCTGCAATTACCACTGATGTTTCCTCCCCAGTGGCATCCTCCCCAATAGCATTTCCGTTCTGCTCCCATGATTCCCCTTCTGACCCCTTGTACCCCACTCAGAGTGAAGGAGGGTGCCTTTTCGTCCCATTCCCATTCCTCCGCAGATGCAACACTGGACACTGATGTTTCCTCCCCAGTGGCATCTTCCCCAATGGCATTTCCGTTCTGCCCCACCGGAGTCCAGTTCCAGCCCCTTCACTAGTTTTGAGACTGTTCGAAATAATAATCTAATTTTGAGGCGTCTCGATTCAACTATCTAATTTTACGACGTCTCAAAACTAGATTATTATCACGTGAGTGCAGGATGGCCCCGTCACCTCCACAGCAAAGCACCACTCGTTGATAATAATCTAGACTTGAGACGTCTCAGAAAGTATATTATTATCGCGAGGGTGCAGGATCGTCTCATTCCCTCCACAGCAAAGCACCACTTCTCATTCGTTTCCCCTTTTTGGCGTTTCCGCTCGTCCCCCCTTTTTACCACCACCCAGAGCGAAGGAGGGTGCAGGATCGCCCCATTCCCGCCTCAGAAACAACCGAGCCTCGAGGCCAAGGCGAGGGGCAGGCTCGGACGGAGCTTCGGCTGCCGGGCCAAGCAGTAGGCTCGGTGTTGGGAAAAGGGGGCAACACGATCAAGAACATCCGGCAGATGTCTGGTGCCAACATCAAGGTAAGTACGGATGTGTGTCTGCGAGTGTGTTTTTTTAGGCGTCTAAGGGTTGGTGCTGGGCAAGCAGTAGGGTCCCCTGCTCGTGACCCCCCCACACAACGCAGAGTCTCCCCCCAGTAACAGGTACTGAACAATTAAGCGTCCTCTCAGATGTGTTATCCCCTCCTGCTGCCCTCAACGTGTTGCCCCCTGCTCGTGTTGTCCCCTGCTCTTGTTGCCCCCCACTTGCAATCCGATTCCCCATGAATGCAGATCCACCCCTCAGAGCCAGGCACCGCCGACCGAATTGTGGAGATCACAGGGACTACCACCCAGGTAAAGCCACCCAGGTAAAGCCACCCAGGTAAAGCCACCCAGGTAAAGCCACCCAGGTGCTGCCGCCCAGGTACTGCTGTCCAGGTGTTGCCACCCAGGGACTGCCGCCCAGGTACTGCCGCCCACACGCTCTGTTTCTGTCCAGTTGTTTTGTTCCTGGCCACGTATTCCATTCTGCCTAGGTGCTTCATTCTCTGCCCCTAGGGGCACCGCATGGTGTCCTTTGCTGGAATGGTATGGTAGACTTACTGTCATGCAAAAATATTTTCAATAACATGCAACTTGCATGTTACACCACCTCGCTTGCTTCGCATCTTGACTTCATCCTCTTGATTCCTCCATACCCACCCCTATGCCAACAGTCAGGTGTGGCAGAGACCCTCATCAAGGCATGGCTAGGAATGCGTATGATATGCTCAGTCCGTACTCCCACCCACATTCCGCCCACTCTATTCCTCCAGATGCGTATGTGTGCCAGATGCTAGGTGCAGAGGCACTCATCGAGGCATGGCTTGGCATATCTGTGACATTCTTATTCTGCAACATGCTTGTTAACCCTCTCTCGTCCTCCCTCTCCCTCCCTCATCCTCGTTCTCCCTGCCGGGCATCTGGTGTCGAGCCCTCCCCTCACCAAGGCATGGCTTGCTTTCACTTCACTATCCATGGCATGCATTTCCCAAGCTTTTGTCTCTCTTTTTGCATCCTCATTTTCTCCTCTACGCCAGGTGGCAGGTGCAGAGGCCCTCATCAAGGCATGCTCTGCTGCAAGATAGTGGTAGTGTGGCATGGCTTAGTATGGTAGTATGTGAGCTTGAACAGACTTCCGTGTATTTTGAGATGGATTCAAATGCCCCTCGAGTTGATGTTGGGTATAGATAATGTATGCCATAGTTTTTAGCAACAGCTTAGGCATAATATCTTGATATAGAAGAGTTTTGTTTTAAACAACACTACTCCCAGGCCCCCAGATTGGTTTTGGGGGACGCTGATCCATCAGTGTCCCCTGCCATTGCTTGGGTGGGTCATCAACGTCGCCCCCCCAGAAAAGGCTGAAAAATCAGGGTAACCTAAAAAAATGTGGCTGATCAATCAGCGTTGCACATTATTATTAGGCTGATTTGAAGTTTCCATTGAACATAGTAACGAGACATTCAATATGAAGTTTCACACAAAAACGAAGGCCTTGTTCAAAGAATCAGACCGGAAACAGAGATGAGAGGCCCAACGAAAAAGTTATATGATACAAATGGATGGTAGCCATTAGATCGTCATCCTACTGATTTGGCGGCCCCATAAAGTCGAACCGACACATAGGCATCACAAAATCGATGGCTGTAAGGAATTTGTAATTCCTTACTTAGGCTTGCTACAGGGCGTACGACTCGAACAGTCCCGAACCAGCGATAGGGTTCCAGACCTTTCAGTTCGAGCCTCCTCGGCCTTTCCGGACCTCGCTTCGACACATCGAGGCCCTTCGACACTTTTCCCGAACCTTCCGATCCTACATCAAGGATCACCTTAGGCTTTCTATATATTGTGTTGTCTTTCATTTTATTGTGATTCACTCGTTCACAGTTTCTCCATTGCCCTCCGCGCTACTCGGCAGTCCCATTCATAACACTTGGTATTCAGAGCCACTTTCCTCACCCGCTGGGCTTCCGAGGGCAATGTTTTTTTTGGAGGGGGAGAAGGCGGATGGGGCTACAGAAGGCACGGCGGTTGTCCTGAAGCATGATATGATATGCTTCAACCACTGCGTTTTGCGTGGGCTTCTGAAGTCCGTTGATCCGACCCCAAGGGACGAGCAGGATTTGCTCGGCCATCCCCTCGAGGGCGGTTGTAACCGTCCTGACATGGCGAAGATTTTGAAGAGTGTTTCTGATATGTTGTTCATTTTGCATATTATTAAAGGGGCTTCGGTTGCAGTTTCAGAAATTTCGGCAAGCAGCAACGACGATTCGGATTGGTATCCGAATGGAGCGAGGAGCTCGTCACGAGACGACAAGCTCGCAGATATCCCAAGGCGAAGCGGATTTCGTCAGGAGCACGTGTAGCAGACGTGGCTACATGGTGAAGTGTAGCTGATGTCAAAGGGCTCGGCGTTTCCGGCAGGCGACACGCAGGTGAAGACGGGACTTCGGATACTGTTCAGCAATGTGGCGTTGGAATTTCCGGCACGACCAAGGATCGCACATCAGCACACGTGGGGCTCAGGCACGGAAGAGTTTCGAGGAGTACTGACCTCGAAATTGTTTCGTGTGACCTGCCCGCCTGGAGGTGTAATTCGTCTGCCCTGGATTTTCGAGCTCGACGAGTCTGGATTCCTGTAGAGGAAGCCATTTTCGTGGTCAGAAATTACACCCAACGATCTACGGAGGACGACCAGCAACTACCCTCTGGTCGAGTTTAAGTGTCATCACCGGGTCACCTGCTTAAAGTCAACGACGAAGAGCTGAAGCAGAGAAGGAGAACGACTGGGAACAGCCGGGCAATTTTACGGAGTCAGCGGCAGATGGATCCCCCGACTGACTTGGTTGGGTCGCCCGATTTTGCGAGAGCGATCGGATAGTACGCGGAGCTCGAGTCCGATACGAACGGCGAGGATTTGTCGCTGCAATCGACGGAGTTGCGAGCTTTTCGCAAGAACGTGCGCGGTGCTGTTTTGAGAAAGACGAACGTGGGCGCTGGGTGAATAGCAGCCTATGGGGGTTTTATCGAGAAGCGGCAGTTGAAGAAATTTGCAGCAGTTTGGAGAAGATTTCTTGAAGAGACGATTTTTTCAGGGAGGGGAAGGAGAATCCCTCACGTAAGCTGGGCAGAGCATGAAGATACTTCAGATTGATATTTTTCAGGTCTTAAAAAGCGGGAACACATGAACGTAAGGTTTGGTGAAAAATCTAAAGCTGAAATTCAGGCTATCCTCTGAAAAACACCTTGATATACAGGTTTTTAGGCATTTTTGGCCTGAATTCGGAGGGCTTGAATCAGAGCCTTTTACCCTTCAAATTTTGGCCTACCACCCAGGTAATGCTACCAATGCAACCGACACCGACACCCAGTTTGGGGGTGGGAATGCCTATTTCTGATTTCCCATATGATATGAAAATACAAACTCTAACATATCAGACGGCCCACAGCTCAAATGAGGGGGGGAAATTGAAAAGGATGTAAGAAATAGAGCTGAAAGGATTGATTAGAAATCCCCATACATGGCAAGGTAAGAGAGAATGGATGAAGGGGGAATCGGAGAGAATCCCCATTGGGATCTCCGGAATCTCCAATTGGGTAATTGGAGATAGGGGGGATCACAATTGGGTGAGGTTGGGATTTTGTTAGTACACCCCAACCCACTAGAACATTCCTAGCCTAAGCAGGATATAAAAGTACAAATACAAAAGTGGGATTTGCAATCTATTTCTAACACACTCCCATAGACTCCAAACCCGGTCAAGGAGCACATAGCCCCATGGAACGGAGAAGGCGATGGTGGTCAGCCCTACCAAGAGCCTTGGTAAAGAGGTTGGCGAGGTTGCAATCTGGGACGATGCGCCGTACCGTCAGCTGGTCACTCTGAACAAGATCTTGGATGAATAAATGATTAAGTTTGATGTTCTTGGTGCAAGAGTGGAATACAGGATCCTTGGTGAGGTGAATGGCGCTCTGGTTATCACACCACAGGGTGGGCGACTGCTGGGGGTAGCCTAACTCAGCGAGGAGAAAGGAGAGCCAGCGTGCCACTTGAGCAGCCATTGTGCCTGCGTAGAGCTCGGCCTCGCAAGATGACAGGGAGACTGCAGAGGACCGAGTGGAGTGCCATCTGATGACTCCACTACCAAGGTTGAAGCAGTATCCTTGGGAGGAGCATCTGTCAGTCTGGTCATTGGCCCATGAGGAGTCTGTGTATCCCTCGAGCTTGACTAGAGAGGTACCACTGAGAGTGAGGATGTGAGACTTGGTGGCTTGTAGATAGCGGAGGACCCTCTTGGCTGCAGACCAATGGGAGGCAGTGTAGCGTCCGGGGGAGACATATCAACAGAGGACACTAACTGGGTAAGCCAAGTCTGGTCGAGTGCACATCATGGCATACATGAGTGAACCGACTAGCTCAGGGTACGGGTCCTTGCAGGCATCTGGAGATGGAATCAGAGGGGCCGTGAGCTGATGCTGTAGTGGGAGTGGAGTGGAGACAAAGTTACTGGAGTCCATGTCAAAACGCTTGAGAATGTTGTCGATGTAGGACTCCTGGAAGAGGGTGATAGTGCAAGCCTGGCGGTCACGAGTGATCTCCATCCCCATGTAGTTCTTGTGGTCACCAAGATCCTTTATGAGAAGGGTGGAGCTGAGAGCAGACTGGATAGCTGCCATCTCGGCTGGATCTCTAGCGACTAGAATGAAGTCGTCGGCGTAGACGAGGATGTAGAAGGGCTCGGAGGAGTGATGAACGAAGAGACTGGAATCTGAGGTAGAGGGATGGAAGTCAAGTGCCAGGACTGTGTTGGTTGGGTAAGTGCCTGGAAACCCTGGTGGGCGTTCCATGTGAAAATCCTCCTTGAGCTGGCCTTGGAGAAAGGCGGAGGAGGCATCCATGGACTTGATCTCGAAGTTGTCGCGAGCAGCTATATAAAAAAGAGCGTGCACAGTCGGGAGCTTGGCCGTGGATGAGAAGGTTTCAAAGAAGTCGAGATACTCCTTCTGGGTGAAACCCTTCGCCACGTATCGTGCCTTGAACAGTGGAGCTTCGCCTGGGAGTTGTTTGACTCGGAAGATCCATTTTCCGCCGACGATGTTGACACCGGAAGGGGGAACGACATCGTGAAAGGTGTTGTTGCGAATGAACGTCTCGTTCCCCACATCCATTGCTGCCTTCCACTCCTTATAAGACCCCAAGAGAGCTTCCTCTTTTGTGCAAGGAGTTGGAATGGTCGGGTTCTCGGTGAAGTTGAGGGAAGGGCTATCAGTAATGTACGGGAATTTGTGAGAGAGAAATTAGCAGACCGCGTGAAGGTCAAACTTGACTGTCCTCCAAAAGTGCACGGAGGGGAATACAGATGGAGGGGACATCATCTCCGGTAGGAGGAGGCGGGGTGACCGAACATCGGATGGAGAAGGCGGCTGGTCCCCAGGCGAGAGGCGGGGCCGATCCCTAGGTACGAGTGCGACTAGAGACCGGAGATGAAGGCGGCTGCGGTGGGACCGGAGGGACTGGGCGCCCCTGGTAGGACACTGGTGAGCCAGGCTCGACGCACGGAGAAGGCAGAGTAGGAGGGGGTGCCGCTGCGGAGGATACCGGGGAGGCCGGGTGAGACACGCCGCATGGAGAAGGCCCTGGATAAGGGGCAGTTGCCGGGGGTGGGGCATCGAAGTCTGCCCATACAAGCGTCGGGGGAGGTGGAGGAGGCTCGCCCATGGTCGCAGAGTGGAAGGGGCGTGTCTCATCGAAGACGACATCACGGTTGCGAATTAGCTCTCTGGTAATGCGATTGAGGAATAAGTAGTCTGGGGAGTCGGAGTTGTGCCCAAGGTACATGATCGCCTCGGGATGCGACTGGAGCTGGGACCCAGACATCCATGTGCACTAGGTCTAGCGGAGCAGCTGCGACGGATGGAAAG